AGATTAATTTGCCCTTTCTTCAGATGTTGATGACGAAAATCATGTTTTGTGATCCGTTGGATCTTTTGACTCCATCGGACAAAAGAATCCTTAGAAAAAGACCCGTTAAACCATCAACAAAGAATATAACTGCATTTCGAATCAACTACGCATGGAAATCGTGGTCGTGATCGTGGTAAAAGTGATTGTAGCTAAAATGATTACCCGAACAAATATCTATTCTAAATCGAAACAGTCTCATTTGTTGTGACTTTATATGTACACTTATTGAAATTTATTTCCAAAAACTAGATGATTTTGGTCATCGCTTGTATCTGTTTCATCAATTCGTTTAAAAAAAGAAAAGGATTCCACATGTGACTAAATAAATTAATAAGAGCTTAAAATTCTATATCAATATCTAATTTATGAAAATGACCTAACAAATTAACGACGTATTGATCGTTTCTATCAAAATGATTCATATCCCTATTAATAAAGAAAATGATTCATCGTCCTCTATTGCAAGCAATTCAAATGCTTTAATTTCTTTAGAAAATTGTATAATATACCAATAAACATCTACACGTCCAACGGTCCAAGTCCATCCTTAGAAAAACAATTGATCTTACATGGAATAATTAATCTTAACAAACAAGTGTAAAATAAATGCAACAAACAAAATCAGCATGCCCGTTTTTTTTTAATGAATTACAATGATTGTAACTTGCGTTTGAATAAAAAACAGAGTTAGCTTAACAGATGTGAAAATAATCACTATTCCGTTTAAAGCTTATGCGATTCAGAGGATCGCGTCGCAATCTTGTCATCGTAAGATTGGACTCCCATCGTTATGATTTGAGTTTAAATGATTCCAAACTAATTTGTCGATAAAATTTGAAAGGCGAGCCGGTGAAATTGGTTGTTTTCCATACCGTTGATTATTGCATTTTCTCCACAAGTGATAGAGTCGCTTAGAGGGTGTACCGTAGGAGAAATATTTTGATGTGGCTGAAGTTCCCATTATGATATGTAAGATGAAATCATCCCATCATGTAATATCTTTCCAAACTACCGATGAAAATCTACACATTTTCCGTCTTTTATTGAGAAGGTTAAACTCAAAATCTCCCTACCTGTAGAGCTCTGTTTCAATAGAGTTATGTGATTAAATTCGATGAATGTATTTAATCAATAGACGAACATTTACATATGAGAAACTGATTAAATTCGATGAATGTATTTAATCAATAATGATTGGGAATTGAACATTACATATAGACCACCTAACGTCAACGAGTTTTGACCAGCAAATTTATTCACCTAACCATAAGTCACCAAATGTACAGTGAATTACTCCCTTATTAACATTCAGCTCAAACCTATCCATTGTCCATTTGCG